GCCCTTTGGTATTTTCTAACCTAACCAGCATTCGACCTCCGGCTTAAGCGGTTCAAATTTTCAATTGCGACAATACAAGATTATAAGAATACTGAATAAGTCATAAGATTATTAATTAAGATGTGTTCAGCTGTGTGGAATGCTTTCACTAAGTCCGAGTGTGGAACTCGGGCAACTTGTGACATATGTTTCAAAGGCTATTCGAATTCAGGAAATACGACAAATTTATGGAATCATTTAAGTAGTACTCACAAAGCTGAATACCACGAACTAAGAAATTCAAAGAAAAAAGATCAAAGCAATACTATGATCCCGGAAAACGATACACTTGAGTAAGTAATTATTTATAGTATAGTTACTATTTCTAAATTTAATAGGCGTAGATCGTTGGTAGATATTTATTTCTGTATTATATAGTACATAGATACTATTATAATTATAATTTGTAACTTATTATAAATAATTAGGTGGGTACTCAGATTTTAATATTTTTATTTTAGTTTTACAAAACAATTTTCAATCTGTTATTAACTAGAAGTTAGAAGTTAGAACAATAAATAAATTTTATGGATAAATTAACGGTTTGGAAAAAAAATATGGATCAAAGAAGTCTTCCAATTAAGGCACTTTGTCAGTTCAGATTTTAATATACATATATATATATATATATATATATATATGTATATATATTTTTTTGAACTTTTTAAACAAAATATTGTAACTATATAAATTATCCCTTAAGGTAGTGTAAAACTACATATATAATTATTATTTACATAGGTACTGGCGTACTGCTGTAGCAATGTACAATATTATTTTAGGGATTATAAAATGTTCAACTTTTATTGCTAAAGATTGAAAATTTCAAAGTTCCATGTAAATAGGTTATATCTTATATATAATATACAAATTATTTAATTCACAATAATATCTAAAAACTATACTTTGTAATATCATAAGTAGGCTGACTCGCCTACTGACCCGTCTTAGCTCAGAATCGTTTATCTTATATACCTAATGATTAAATGATATTATAACATTTATATCATTGGATTCAAATTTAACATAATCCATTACAGTTACTTGTAACCTACTGTACAACAGAGCGACACCCACTTGCCCATCTTTTTTTTAAATTTAATTAAAAAAATGTTATATTACTATATAATTTTAATGATTTTTTTTATTTCATAGTTAAATATTACATTAAAATAATAATACACCTATTAAATATATTTAGTAGTAATAGTTAACACTTATACAGTAATACTATAGTACTGATTACTAGTAGTACTTATAAAAACAGTATGTGAATTTACGATTTACCTAAAATCACAAAATTTTCTAAAAGCAATACAATCATTATATAGCCATATAGGTAATCTGGTGATATGCAATATGTATATTGTATCATACTTTATTATAATATTATTACAATAAGTATAAATCATATATGTATAATAATTTTAGGATAATAAGTTTTCAAAGTAATTAAGTTTGAACAATTTGCATTATTATTTTTAGATTAACATCATCACAAGATACATTAGAATTAACTGATTCGTCCTCCTCAGAAGTACCATATAATAGTAACTGTCAAAATAATGTAACCAAGAAGTCTAAATTTGAACCTAAACAATCATCTATGAAGTCCTTCACTTTAACTCCAAATTCAAAACTGAAATTGGATAAAGTTCTGGCATATTTCATTTCTGTTGATATGATGCCTTATAATTTGGTAGACAAAGAAGGATTTAAACTATTTGTCAACTCTTTAAATCCTAGTTATCGACTGCCTAGTCGAACCACATTGTCTAATAGAAAAATTCCAGATCTATTCAAAGAAACTAAAATGAAAGTGGAAAGCATTTTATCTAGTACAACATTTTTATCTTTGACAACTGATTGCTGGACATCTGTAGCACAAAAACCATTTATAGCTTTAACTGGACATTTTATGGATAAAAGTATGAATTTAGGTAAAAAATTATAATTCAATGTAATATAAAATAACATATAAATAATTATAATAATAATACATAAATACATTTTATAGAAACAATATGCCTTGGGTGTCAAGAAATGTCAGACAATCATACAGGAGAAAATTTGGCAGATGCTATACAGCTAATCTTACTAGAGTATGATCGAGAAATAAATGTTGGTATTGGAGCGATAACAACTGATAATGGGGCTAATGTATTAAAAGCAGTAAATAATGTATCAATTTCACATGTTTCTTGTTTTGGACATAGCTATAATATAGCTATAAAAAGAGTTTTCAACTTAGATCAAGTTAAAACTGCTGTTAATAAAGTTAAGGCAATTCAGAACATTTTTGGTTATAGTTGGACGGCCATTAGAGAATTGTCCATTGAGCAACGACGCTATGGGTTACCAACTGTGAAATTTCCAACATATTCAAAAACAAGGTGGTGGTCATTGTTAGACCTAATAGAAATAGCCATATCTCAAGAATTAGCATTAGCATCATTTCTAAGAAGTTATAAAAATGGCATTCACAAAGACAAAATGTATAATGAAGAAGAAATGATTGTCTTAAAAACATTAATACATGTTTTACAGCCTATTCGACAAATTTCAGACAATCTTGCAGGTGAAACATTTGTAACAGCATCGGCAATTATACCAGTCATAAAAATTGTAGAAAATAAACTAACAGAAACCGCAACTAATGATAATGAAATTAATATTGATCAAACATTGAAAAAAACAGTTCTTCAAACAATAGTTGATTTGCTTCATGTTCGTTACAATAATAATGATATTTTAAAAATTTGTACAGTGCTTGATCCTAGATTTAAGTTTGACGTGATTTCTTTGGAAACTCATGATGCAGAAACCTCAGCAATAAAAACTCTTATTAAAGAAGAATGTATTGAAGCTTGGGAATATTGGATAAAAACTTCAAATAATACATTAATTATTGATTCCGAACCACGAACAAAAAAACAAAATGTAGGATTGACCGCAATATTTGATACATTTAATCATACACAATCTACTGATAGAGTATGTATTTTTTGTAATTTAATTTTTATAATTTTAAAATCAAAGTATTGCAGTAGGTTGTGTATTAATAATAATACAATTTATATCATGTTATAGGAAATTTCATTATCTGATGGAATTGATAAAGAGATTGACGCCTATTTTCAAGTTCCAAAAATACCATGCAATCAAAGCTCTTCGACATGGTGGTTTTCAAATGGAAGTATGTTTCCAAAGCTTCATATTATGGCTAGAAAATACTTGTGTATACAAGCTACAAGTGTGCCCAGTGAACGAGTCTTCAGTAGAGCTGGAAATATTGTTACGGATCATAGAGCATCATTAAGTGATGAACACTGCTCACAACTGATATTTTTATCTATGAACAAGAAGTTCATAGATAAACCGTTTTTTTAAAAATTGTATACGTCATATTACATCTTATAAAAATATAATACAAAGAAGTTTCTTGTAATCTTGTATTCTTGTCTGTCTAGAATAAATCTTATGTCCTTGAAACATAGAAAGTTAACTTACGCCTTAATTAAGAAATGTACTTTTTTAA